GTTTAGGACCGGTAGAATATTGTTGTAGGCTAATTATATTTATACTGTTCCTACCATGTTTTTCATAGTTTTATTGGAATTACTAAATAAATTCAAAAAAAAATTAACTTTGGTGGTCTCACTAGTATTCACTGCGATATCATGTAATATCTACACCTTATGATATGATAGAATATACAATTTCCTACTACGCATAGTAAAATTGTTGTTTATTTTTCTTGAAAAGAGAAAGGAAGAGAGTACTCTGAATCCAAAATTTTGTACTATTCATCCATGATTTTTTAAACAATCATCGTTTTGTGTTTACTGACAATAATTACGGTTTGAAACACTAGTTTTGCTCTCAATTGAAAAGGATAATGCTTCAAACAAAGTTGAAATCTGGTTAAATAGATAACACATTGATTATATAAAAATTCTAAACTTTTGACCAATCATTTTCCTTTGTCATACTATGGGTATTCGCTTTTTCTTTTGAATAAAACTTTAAAATGCAAAACGTTTACACAATAGCTCAGAATTTACTTGTTTTTATGTCATATTGCAAAAGCGGATTTCACTTCGCCACGAAGGCACTGTGGTCTGCATGCATATATATATATATATATATATCAAACTTGCAATAATCCAGTTTAGGAATTATGTAACATACAGTGCTTGTGCTAACTAAAGTCTTAAAGTTGCATTTGAACCAGAAAATAATTTCAGCATTCAATTTACACTACTTCACTGAAATATAGTGCATAACTCTATTTATACATATCATACATTTAGTTCCCTTGACAAATTTGAACAATGCACGAACGAAGACATTTGCAGAATAAAATGAGCTCATTTTATTTCATTGCTTTTCATCAACTGCAAACAGCCTCTGATTAAAATGAATTATTACTTTTTTTTTATTTATACAAATTAAGGGATCTTCGTAATACTTTGTTTTCACTCATCAACTATAATGTCAAGTTATGAGGAGAGATTTTCAAGGAAATAGCTGGTGATTTGACGACTTTTTTATATACTGATGATTGCAAGACCATTCTGAGTGCAGCTCGATGACGACACTAAAGCTGTTTCCAACCAGGAACTAGCTAGACAGTTATCGGAACACAATAACGTCACCCAACTGATGCTTCTACCAGTTTTCTGTACAAACAAAGTTAGTGACTTAACTGATACGTAGAAAAAGGTTAGAGAGCATCAGTGGATCTCAGAAGTCTCTTCGAAAATAATGGATGCATGTGAAAGCATTCCTGCAGACTCTGAGCACAATAAGAAGTGAAGTAGCTAAAATGTCGTCCAGCAAAGAGTCTACACAATAACTGCAGTAGTGAACAACAAAAGCTAAAGAGACGGAAAAGTCCGTGACGACAGGTAACAGTAGATAGTGTCATTTAAACTTATCAAGAAAACGGGGGAAATCAATGGTTAGTGAGACTGTAGCAGAGAAGGATGGGTCTGTGACTGACTCACTTGCAGGGAAGACGACTGGAAAACTTTGAGGAATAGATTGACTAGCTTCCATCTACTCTTCAATTGTGAGCTGTTCACTCAGATCCTGAATGAAACACTGACGTAGACCCTCCAACTCTTGCAGAAGTTGAGAGAGCTGTAGGTAATCTGAGAAGAGGAAGGGTAGCAGGGTCAGATGGGGGAGTACCGCAGGTACTAGAGGATAATAATCTAGGATTATTGATTAGTTTAACCGAAGTGTTAGCTAGTGTATGGGAGTCACATATGATCCCCTTTGACTACTCTCAATCACTGAATTTCCGAGTCCTCAAGAAAGGGGGAGATCCTCTTGTGGCAGCCACAGGGGAATGAATCTGACGAAAATAGTACTTAAGATCATTGGTTTTGTAATCAATAGACGGTTAAGTGAAACTTATAAACAGTGATCCCGGTGAAACCAGACAGGTTTCAAACCCGGTTGTCCGTGTATTTACCAGATTCTCACCTTACTTCAGATCTTGAAATACTGGCACAACTACCAAAGCTTGACACTAACTGCACTTATTGACTTAAAGCTAGCTTTCGACTTTGCTGATCGAGAGGCTTTATGGTAGAGCCCCCTTACTGAATGGGGCACCGAGTTAGTAAATCATTTTACTAAAGTCTCTACAATCGAACAGTCGTAGGCGTGTCAGAGCCCATGGTGAATTGTGTACGCCGAGTGATTTCCATCTAGGATGTCTATTCTCTCCAGTTCTGTCTATTCTTTTATAACCCTACTTATTGAAGTCTTCCTTACGTCGTTTGAGTAACCTTATCAAAAGAGGCCTGTTAGTGGACCTGGAGTGTGGAGATGACAATTCTGAATGCATGCAGTCCCTAGACACCTTAAGTGACAACTTAGAAATGTTTGAGATGTGTTTCTTCTCAATGAAAACTGTCCCTTCAAGGTTGGTCTGCAATAATAGGCCGTCTAAGGATAGGGAGTGAAGTGATTATGTTCGTTGACCGCTTCACCTGGGTCGGATAGAAACTGACTCTAGGATGATATTTGCCAACTAGTGCCGGTCATGTATCCAATTCCCTATTAAGAGTTGAGTTTACTGGGCTGCAGTTTTGTATCTTAACATCAGACTGTGAGAAACGGTCATTAAAGGTGGATGGTATGAGAGACTCCGTGTGTTAGACCACGGTTGGTTTCGTAGCGTTGTTTATGTCGTGGAAGCACGACACTATTAGTTTGAGCTATGTAGTGGAGTGCAGACTTCTAATGTCCACACTTACTATTTATCACCAGGCTCCGAAAGATAAACAATTATGCTGCACTAAGGAAGAATACGACCCGGAGTTAAGTGTTTGTGTCATACAGTGAGGTGATGATGGATCTGAAAAATGCCATTGGTCCATCTAACACCTTTTTCATTTCTTATTTCATGGCCTTGTGCAGTGTACTTCCTTATGAAGCAACTCTGAAGATGACACGTAGACTACTGATGTTGGGACTTTTACCCATGAAAACTCAAACTTAGGAAGCTTGATTACTAATATATGCTACCGACCAGCATTTTGTGCAACCTTTGGTTGATCAACTCATTTATTATTTATTTAATTTCCGTCTGCTAGTTTCCTAAAATCTTTTTTCCAGGCTTGTAAAGCTTTATAGTATCATTTGATTTGTGTGTTTTCTCCATTAAATTCTACTAATCTTCGTGTTCAGATTGGTGTACAACGGATGTTTGTCACTTATCTCAGTGGTCCGATATATACGTGTTTTCGAGAACGAACTACGAAATAAAATGATATTCTTATTCTATAGATTTTATTGCTGTAGCTTTGGTGGAAATCTTCAATGAACTTTTTCACTACTTTCTAGCAGGAAAATTCTTATGGGTTAGTCATAGAGGAATTAAGCTGTCCTTACTCAGTGCGAATGATAAAAAGATAACCTTAATATATTGGTGCTCTTTTCTCCTTTGTTAAATTATAATTTTTTGAGCTGTTTATACAGGCGTATTTATCTTCCCTACTCATTCCTAGTAACAATATAAAAGCAGAGGTGACTGTAACATTTCAAAAGTTTTAAAATAGTGCATATATATATGATGTTGAACAGGAGTCAATATGCTAACAAAAACCGACCAGTTCAGTCCAATCAACGACGGGATATATAAACTATGCCCGTTGCACAAGAAGTGGCTATCGTGACTCGGTAGCCCGGTGGATGACTCTGGTGTTTGAAACGATCGGTCCTGGATTCGAGTCTTAGTGGGACCAAAATAGCTCACTAGGAGGCAGGTACATTCAGCTGACGAGCCGAAACAGAACGGAACGCACGTCCTGGATTCCCTCTGCTATCCACTATCCATCATTAATATCAACGCATATATAGTCAGTAAAATTTTAATACAGTGCACCAGCCACTTTAAATAGATATTTTTTCCCCTTTTTTTCTATTCGCATCATTTCTACACTGTGATGAAATTTGATCTTGAGTGTCACACTAAATGGTCAATGGAGACACTAACATTTTTGAAGTGTTCCAACAAAAAAATTATTCGCTCAATATGCACAGGAAATGTTTACAGTTTGAATGTTACAGAGGGTGACTTTATAATTAAAACAATCAGAATCATTAGATGGAGGTTATATGCTGTTGGTCAGCTGTCACCATCTACACATTTTTTTATCTGATGCACACTTTTTCTGCTATGAATGTAGTCATAGTCTTCGAAATTAGAGGTAGGGACAAGGATTTGTATCTAATCTTCAGTAAAATGTATGTATCTAAATGTATACAAGAAGAACAATTGCATTAAACTGATTGTGTATAGGTGCATATTATTATTTATTTATAGGCACTTGATATTATTAGTCACTGACATACATATGAATTGTAATAACTAACATTCAAATGCTAAATATATGTTTGAATAATTATTTTAAGAATTCCCAAACTTGGTTTGACTTTCCAACTAATCAGTCTCGATATGTGGTATTTTGTCACCTAAATGCGGCACTTAAATACTGTTTCACTTAATCAAAGCCTTCTTCTTCTTACACCAACGGTTAGTAATAATCATTTATCATGAGCTCATTTTATTCTCCAAATATTTTTGACAACAAAGGTTATCACAATCGTATCTATTTTCGAATAGTTTATTCATCAATCATTTCATCCAAACTGAAATGGGAATTTATTGTTGTAATTTTTATCTCTAGGTGTGTTTACTTAACGGTATGGCAGTGTTTCGTATTTCTACTTTTTTAGGTGACGCTAAATACCCAACGCCAGGTTTGTATATTCCCCTAAATAATGCTAACAAAGCACAGTATGCAGATCCGTATATGCGTGATTATATAGTGTATGCATCATTTGAGTCGAAAATATTATTAGGATGGATTCACATAGTTTCTTCTGGAAATCAGGAAAAGGGATTCTGAATAAGATATGAATTCAATAGATTACATATTCTCGCTGAAATGTTCTACATATTTTTCCTGATGATCAGTGTCACTTGATTTGCCTTTACTGTTATTTTCAAATCCTGCAGAAGTTGGAACCACATGTATGAGTACACCAAGTCAATCAGACTTGATTCACTGTAATGGAACTTCAAGCGCTAAACAAGATGCAGAGATCACTTTAATGGAACCAGTACATTTTACACTAGCAACTGCATCCATACTATCCGTAAGTTAATCATTTGCTTAACGTACTACCAAACGTAATTCTGTCGTCAGAAACAACACTATGAGAGTTCTCATTTATATATGATGGCACCTCTGAGATTCAAGAGCATTAGAATACAACCCCACAATTTCTTAACTAGAAACGGTCTTAAATAACAAGGATCACTACAAGTAGTCACTGAATGGTAGGTTTCAAATTTACAGAGTCTGGAGTCAACATCTGAAAGTCATATTGGAAAGCATGAAGCGAAATTACAAACCGATAGTCATAATTAATACCAAAGTATGGATGTTTAGTCATCGAAGTCTAGCCGTCAAACGTAATCAGCAAGCGTAGGGCCTGTGACTCCTGAGCATTCAAAAATTGTATAATTTCTTTCGGTGACCTATTAAATTTCAATCGTTAATTTTTCCTCACTTTTAAATCTGTCAGGTAACGCAATCCTTCATTTGAAAGACAACTTTTTTCAAACATTTCTTCTTCTTTACCATTAGAATATTCAGTCTATCCGTGCATAAATAATCGTTCGTTAATGACCATCAGTTTGTAATTTTGCATCATGCTTTTCAGATTTTGCTTCCAGTTCCAGCAAACTTATAGCCTGTTATTAGGTTACTACTTTTACTCATCGTCGTGATTCAATCTGCTCTCACTGAGTACGAACTCATGAATCAAAACGGATCTGTTTTTTGATACAAAACGTGTTCCTTCTTTTTCGTATTAATTTTGCTCAGTATTTTACTATGGGGGCTACGTTGGATATGAATCTTTTCTCAGGTGGGTTCATCAATTATGAACCGATTTTTACCATCCCACTGATGCTAGAACAAGATTTCATACTGGTTCATTCTTAACTGAAATCTATAGATGAAAGTGTTTTTAGGTCACTAGTCTCAATAGATTGGTGTCTGAACGGTATCCGAAGTTGTGAAACCAGTAAAAAAGTGTGAATCTAATTTAAATTTTATAAAGACTGGTGAAAATTATAAAAAAGTATATGGAACATTCAAGTCTCAAATAGGTTTCTTCTTCTTCATGCCCATTAAATAAACTTTAGTGACGCAAAGATTAACTTTTACTTGTTCCTTTATTCTTTGAATTTATTTACTACTTAAGTTGTGGGTTTCTACATCGAGTTTCATGAAACGTTTTAGTATTTTTCGCAAAATATTGATGTACATGCATGAACTTCAGAAAATACAGGGTCTTATGGCTACTAAGTACTGTAAGAACGACATTTGATAACTGCTGTTATCAATAATACAAGTCAGTAACGGTACAGACTTGTCTAAATACGTTGGAATGTAATAAGCTAGGAATTCCCATTTGTTAAGCTGTTCACTTTTTTTTCACCTTTCCACTTTAAAAGCATTTACAGTCGGTCACATTCATATGCAAACTAACACTAGATACCCACTGTTGCTAACTGAAAAGGTTTGTGTACATATTAGGCGAGGTCGCACCATTAAACCTATGTATTTCTGGACAACAGTGTTCATAGCTCCATGCTTTAAAAACAAGAGGTCGGTATTTCTGTAAATCTTTATGACAAAAGATTCACACCTTTCTCCTTAAACAGTTTTAATCAACTTTTGTTGTTCAACTACCATTGAGGGTTTTTTAATTTCGCGACTATATAGTCCATTTCGTCCACATTAGTCAATACAAGTACGATTGTAACGTTAAATACTTAATTTATCATTTTCTCGAATCACTCTGTGGAGTAAATATTTCTTATACCTTTCTTTCATATTCATATCATACAACTGATTTAAATTTTAACAACAGGGGGGGGGTGAAATAACGTGATTCCATCTTACTTTTGGGTTGGATACCAACATGGAAATACAGAAGGTGGTAATCAAAATATCCTAATCATTCTCATCAATCGTTTTAATGTACTTGTCGGTTAGTAAAACGGTTGACATTTGCAAGGCTAAAAGAATAATTATGTTAACAGCGTAGAACCTGATACAAAAGTTCATCGCACACTTTGAAACAGCACACAAGTAAATCAAAATAAACAAAACAGCAAAGAAACGGGGAGGATATGCGTTCACTGAGGACAAATAGATTTAAAATGGTCAAATGACCGAGAACAACAGGATTGTAGAATGTTTGTATTTACGCCAGTGTTCCTGAGGCACAAATACCATTAACTTTATATATTTTGCAAACCTCATTCAATAAACCCGCAGCTAAAATCAACAGTTTCATGGTTGAAATCTACGTCTTTGTTTGATAAGCTTTAAGTTGATTCTGCTTGGTCTAATAAGCAGGCTTGCCGACGATAAGTAGATAAGAATCAAATCAACAAGATGAGTAATGTTGCTTTTTAATGTAAACTGAAGTGTAATCTATTTTAATTGTCTATTCTACCTGTATAAAACATTATTTTAAAATTCCACGTTAGATTTATTTACTTGACGTTTCAAGCATAAACTATTGTTCTTAGTCATATCAATGTTATCACACCACTTTACATTGGATTCTCAAAAAGGTTGGAATTAAGGTGTCAAACTAGCCGATTGGCGTCAGTCAGATTAGCGGAACATAGTAATTTAGCTAAATGTAGAATGACTGACTCCAATAAGATCGATAATCTAGAATAACAGTCGGTTATTGCAATGCATGCATCAACACAGCCACACAACAGATTGGGATAAGACCACTGTATTTAAGTCAAATGTAGTTAGGTATGGAGAGCAATAATTTACGCTTGAAACGTCATCAAGTAGATAATACTGTATCACTGTGTTCTGTATATCAAGTAAATAAATCTAATATGGAATTACATTCTACCAGTGCCGAGATTTCATACTTATATTACTTTAAAATGATTGTTCTGTAGCCCTGTATTCAGACCAACTACCAGGTGCGAACACCCACATTAGCTATGGAAGATATTGCAACAGCTGTTTTTGAAAATGAGAATAAATCTCATGAGAAAAGCCGCTTTGTAAATACATCACTTGAATACCTACCAACTTCTGCTTCAAATACTGTTCAAACGTCTTCCATATCAACACTCAATTATGCAAATGTAACTTCACCTTCTTGGTTATCCCCAAGAATGAGACATACGTCACGAACATTTCACATTCATCCAAAGCTTCCAGACTCATCTAATGATATACCTTTTCACATACCCTCCGGTAGTCGGGGTTCGTTTACATTGAAATATAAGCAGAATTCGTTACCTAATCCTCCCCCATCATCTTACTTCTTATGTGATGCAAATCTAGTTAAACCAACACAAATCAATTCTGCTCGACCAAATATTCCTCCACGTCCCATTTCCAAAACATCTCGTGCACCCTCTCAGTTTTCAAGTTCCATAACGGTCTCTGAGTCGAGATCGCTCCCATTAGTTTCCGGTGAGACTAGCGGAGTGAATCCAACGAAAACTGGTTTTATTTCTGAATTAACCAAAAGTTCATTCTCACAACCTTCAGATTCCGATGCTTATCCGAATACCTCAAAGATTTTCCCTCCACCACCCCCTGCAGCACCTCTACCGGTAACTAAACAGAAACAACTACACCAAAATCCGCTTCACAACAGCAATCAGAAAACTGATGTTGAAGGTTATTTAGAAAAACCGGGAATTGAACGTAAAGGCGTAAAGTAAGCCAAGTATAATTTTAATAAGCCCATGTGATACTTATTTATTAATGAAAATATGACCATAGAATTCAGTATACATATTTTGCTTATCAATATTACCATTCGTATATCTCTCGTCTAGAAGAAAGGGAGACGTTTTGTTCGTAAGCAAACTGGTCAGTTCATTCCATTAACGTTCTAACTAAGTTGTTTTCAACTTATTATTATTATTATTATTAGTCCCTTGGGTTCCTAGTGGAACATAGATCTTCAGCACCACGTCGCCATTTCACTCTCTTCTCTGCAGTCTATCCAACCTGCATCCACGACTCCCCACAAGCCTTCATTTCCTCCCCACACCATCTCCTCCATGTCACCGCCTCGGACGACAAAATCGTCGTTTCCCCTTTGCATTCCACTCGACGACCTGGCCTAAAACGTGATGTCCAAGATCCCCTTCTCAGTGTATGCCCGATACAATCCAATCCATCTCCACTTCCTTCTGCACAGTTGTTGGGCGACAAGTTCTTGGTTGGTTCGTTGCCAGCCAGCCGGCCAACCAGAGTTCCTTTTTCTTATTATCCTGGCCATCTGATCTCAACTTCAGTATCGAGTGACGGAGTGTACGCAGCAGCTGTTGATCACGCATTTCTGTAGTTTGTTGCAAATGCTTTTCGTAACGCGCCACCAACTCTCTCAACCATCACATAGAAGCACTGACTCACTTAACTCACATTAGTGTTGAAAATCTGGATCTTGTTCACACACGCTTTATGCCAAGTGCAGTGCAGTAGATCTCCACACTGATCTCAGATTGGTCAAGGCCTGTCTTGCTGTCTTCCCGATCCTGGATTTGACATCCTCATCTGTGCCTGTGCCGTCACTGCCTGTAGTTGACACGATGCTGTCTTGCTTGGGCAGGTGAAAGAGACTACCTCCTTCAGATTCCTCCCACTGATGGTGGCTGGTGCTTGTTGTTGATGCTGTTGCTGGTTGGGTATCTTCATCACCTCTGTCTTCTCTACCTTCACTTCAATAGTGTCCCGTCTTCGCTGCCCTACCGCTCCTATCAACTTCTTGGTTTTCGCCTGTAGATCTTCAAGTTTGTGCCACGAGACAACAGAAAGGAATCATCATGGCTGGCGAAATCCAAATCTTCTAAGGTCCTTTCATCATTCCAGCCACCCTGTGCCCGTCTTCTCCCTTCTCACGGTTTGCTGCATGACAGTCCACCACAACCGGAAAGATCACCGGTCATAGTAGGCAGCCTTGTCTTACTCCTATCCCCTGTCTTCACTTCACTTCAAAGGCGTCACTGGGCTTTCCATTGTGAATCACTCGGCATGTGGTGTCGTCATGTAGCTGTTGAATGAGGTTGGAAAAGGTTTGTGGCACCAAAACCGTAGTGTTGAAGCAGCTGCTTACCAAATCACTTCTCGGTCGACGCTGTCAAAGGCCTTTTCAAAATCGATGAAGATGAGGTAAAGATCCAGTCGACTGTCATTCTATACTCTGTTCTATGGTGATGCGCATCGTTGTGTAGTGATGAAATCTGATCCACACATGATTTGTACTTCCTGAATCCAACCAGCCTGTTCCCGTCGTAGTTTTAATCCAGCGCATCCTTTAGTCTCTCCAGGATGATGAGGCTTAATATTTTGCCTGCTTTGGGTGGACGGCGGCATGATTCCTCGCCAGTTCTTGCAACGACTTCGGTCTCCCTTCTTTGGAAGTTTGACAAGGTAGCACTTCTTCCTCCCAAACCTTCTGCAACAGTGGTGTGAGCATGTTCACTGTTGTCTCTTCGTCTGTTTCCAGTGCTTCTGGCGGAATTCCATCTGGTCCTGCTGCTTTCTCGGATTTCAGCAGCTTTGTGGCATTCAGGACTTCTGCTTTTGTCGGAGGGCCTGTGTTCACTGGTAGTTTTCCCGTTGCCGGTGGCATTTCTGAACGAGTTGCAGGTGGTGGTGGTGGTGGTGGTGGTCGATTCAAGAGCTTTGTGAAGTGGTTAGCCCATCGTTTCCTTCCTTTCTCCTCTTTGGTAGTTATATTTCCTTCATCATCTTTTATTGGTTTCATCTGAGTTCATCTCTTCCCTACCAGGTAGTAACCTGGTTATTCGACATAGTGTTGTCAGGTCACTCTTACCGGTCTACAGCCTGTTCTGCTTCACTTACCAGTGTGTCGTAGAAGTGTATTTTGTCTTTGCGCGCGCACTCTTCTTCACTTCTTTGTCCAGTGTAGTGTTTTATATCTTATACTCACTTCTTCTTTTTGTTGTGCATCTTTGCACTGTTCTGAGTGTTGAACTTGAACTGTGGTCCATCACCAACTTCCTTCAAGGCTTTCAACTTGATTTTCAAGGTTCCTTGCACTATATAGTGGCCTGGCGAATCCGCAAAATACACGCTCCGAGTTTCTGGAGATCCGATAGCTAGCTCTCGCGGTCTTGCAGGTGTAGGCATAGTATTAAGCATTAGGGCATAAAACTCACTACTAGACTGGATCCTAGTTGATAGTCGCCTCTGCGCTATCCGAGTGAACGGCACAGTGAGAGGTAAAAGGGAGTAGTGAAACATGCCGTTGTCTCTTTGTAATCTCTGCTTACGCACCCACTGACTGTAGTTGGGATGAAGTGAAGGACGAGTTCTACCGAAAACTGTCTAGCCTCCTCTCGAAAGCCAAACGTTCGGACGTGGTGGCTGTTGCAGGTGACTTCAATGCACAAGTGGGTGGACTGAGTGAGGCAGAAAGGCACATAGGTGACACTTTCGGAGTGCTGGCTGAACGAACAGAAAACGGTGATCGCCTACTATAGCTGTGCTCAGACAACCGCCTATTTTTAGCCAGCACAAATTTCAGACATAAGAAAAGATACTGTCTGACGTGGCGTACACCGAGCTCAACCCAGCGATGGACACAGATAGACCACATTGCTATTAGTCATCGGTGGGAGACTGCCGCTCCTTCTGGAGTACGTGTTTGGATAGCGACCACGCGTTGGTTCGAGCGTGTATATATCTGCGCCTCAATGGACGTAGGAAAAATTTGGCAACAAAACGACCACGAGTGCTGCTGGACAAAGAAAACACCACAGCCGTGTTCAGTGAGAAGTTGACTAGGCCGACACTGGCTGTATTTCTCGACGTGAAGGCGGCGGCATTCGACTCCGTTGATCGAGAAGCCTCATTGCAATGTCTCTCACTGAAAGGCGTGCCGAGTAAGTACATCACTTTATTGAAGACTCTTTACTCGAACACTTGTGCGCTTGTTAGAGCCTATAGTGAGATGTCAGGTGAGCTGTACTCATTGAGTGGTGTCCATCAGGAGTGCCCACTGTCTCCATTCTTATTCGATTTCATCATAGATATTGTTATGGAGGTCTCCCCTTCGTCGCACAGGTTGGTTGACCCAATCGGTGGAGGATTTTCGTTAGGCATAGAATATGCAGATGATAGTCCTGCTAGGTGAAGACGCTGACAAGAGGCAGAATCTTCCGAACACTGAGTAGCAATTTGAGAATTTTGGGATGCATTTCTCACCACCCAAATGCAAATTGCTGCTCCAGCATTGGTCTTTAACGGTGCGCCACCGCAGCTAACAATAGACAGTGAAATGGTTGAGTGTCTTGATCACCTCACTTACCTGGGAATTAGGATCAGCCCTGATGACTCAGTGGCCGGTGAAATCTCCGCACGAAAACAAAAGGCTCGGCTGGCTTTCGCCGACTTACGCCACCTGCGGCGTCGCCGTGATATCCGACTGTCTATTAAGGGTCGCGTGTGCTGCACAACAGTCCGCTCTGTTCTACTGTATGCCTATGAAACATGACCACTGAAAGTGGAAGACATCAGAAAGCTTCAGATGTTTGACCACCATTGCCTTCGTAGTATAGGCTTTATTCCGTGGCGTCACCATGTGAATAACGCAGAAGTCAGGAGTAGAGTTTTACGGAGAAGAGGCAAGTCAGTTGACGAGGTTGTAAACCTTCATCGACTGAGATAGTTGGGACGCGTGTTACGTATGTCTAGTCGCCGACTGCCTCGTCAGAATGTTGGCCGAAGTAGGTTCAGACTGGAAAAACGCCCGAGGTGGCCAGACTAAAACATGACACCAATGTATGTCCCAGGTTTCGTAGACCGACAGAATCAGCGATCCTGAAGATAGGCGTACACTGTCAGAAACAAAAGGTTAACTGAGAGCTGCGAAACGCGATCACCTGAGTCGGCTAGAACATGCGCTACCTATCTCAAACTATATGGAATGTTGGTTGGAGCTAAATCAGTTGAAAAAATGTTGTAGGTGATCAAGACAAGCTATGTTAGCAGTTCATAAAGTCATTGACTGTTACAGCCGTGTAGAAATTGGCGACTGCACTACTGATGTCCTTGAGGTGTTAGGAATCAGTGACGGAATACTTCTGTTGCGAATCAATCACAATACCCAAGTCGCATTCACCCTCCATCAAATTCTCAATCTTAAATACTTTCATCAATTTCCCTCTTACCCTTGTAATTTACTTCACCCAGGTTACACACTCACCTTCAGGGTGAGCATGCTTTCTAACTTTATGCTTCTTTCTTCCATGTAGATGCAACCATACTCTACATGATATTCGTGACCTTGTTCTAAAGAAAGCACTTCAGAGTAAACATAAATTGTCAGTGAATTTAACGCGGCTATCAGGGTTACGACTTGCCTCTGTTCCTCGTTGAGTTTATCATATTTGTTCTCAATTTAGACTGTCTCAGATTGTTCGCTAATAACAGGCCGTTCTCCCGCCGACATTGTTGCCTTGATGCAATTTTACGATGTGTTTATTGTAGTATTCGAGCAGTGTTAGGTTTACTGCAGGGCGTATTCCCCTAGGTTTTTATACCAGTTAAGTCGACCGGAGAGTAGGGAACCTGAAAGTACCAACTGTTAGCATAGTGTGAAGAAGTGGAATGTGGTAAGAAGTCTGGAGGCGAAATTGTCCTGTTGCTTCTACTGAATTGTGATGACAGTAGAGTGTACAACTT